CTGGGACTAAGGGGCGGAGCCTGGGGTGGGTGGAACCCGGGGAGGGGGGGGAGGGACAGCCAAAGTTTTGAGGCGGGCAGAGCCAGGAGGGACCTAAGGTGGGTGGAGCCCAAAGTAGGCGGAGCCCGGAGCCTGAGAGTAGCGGAGGAGGTTAGGTCTGCGGGCAGCTGCCCACTGGAAGGGGGCGGGGCTTGTGTTCCTTTTCCCAGCGTGCACCGCGCTGCGGGGTCTCACGCGCGCTTTTTACCTCTCCTGTCAGCGTTTGCACGCAAGTGGAAGCTTAGGAAGTGTGACCTTTTCTCAGCCCCGTCGTCGTAGTTAGGTGCTTGAACATCCTCAGAAAAGTCAGGTTTATTCTCACCGCTCCGTAGAAGGACATTTTGTGTTGCAAATTGCTCGGGGTAAGAGGGACTAAAGCACAAACGTGCAGAAAATATCTGCCGGCCAGTCCGGGCGGGTCGCCTCGGGCCTGTCACTGCCTGGCGTTTCCGAGCGTGCCGCTGACCTCAGTCAGTGCACGCAGTACCCACTTAGCTCCCGAAAACCGTTTTCTGAAAAACTGAGACACCCAAGCGCTTTTCCGAAACTTCATACTCCAGAGACCTGGGTTTGGGCGCGTCGTTACTGTAGAATTGTGAAGAGACAGTTGCCTCCTTTTGGTTCAGAAGCGACAGTTCAAAAAAAATTTTTTTTTTCTGGAAGTAAAAGTGGTAATAATAGTCAAAGAAGTTACCGCTCCCCGGAGACTAGGGATGCTACGTTGACTTAGGTTTACCTTTGAAGAGAACACACCTATGAGAAAAAAACGAGTTCATGAGGATTCTTCTTATTTGAGAACATTCAAGTAGCTGTTGAATGTTTTGAGGAAAACTGAGCTATGCTTCTGCTTCTGACCCTTCCATTTACAGCTAGAAACACCATAAAGTTTCTTTACAGAAACACAATAAAGTATGTTAGTGCTCAACGGCATGTTGAACAGAATAGACCTTTTCATAAATACTGACTACTTGGAAAGGGCAGTTATTGTTGAGAGTTAGGTAGCTTGGAGCTTTTCCAAACAATTGCTTTTCCTCTCGTCCTTGGAGCTTTCCCAAACAATTGTTTTTTCCTAACATCCTCTCAGGCTGTTAAGGCCAATAGCCCAGAAAACATCAAGAGCACCGACTTGAGTCAGTTGATAGGGAGTACATGGAAACTTTCTCATATCCTTCGATACATTCCAGAGAAGTCCAAAGACAAAATTATCCGTGTGCACATGGACTAGGAATGTTACTGAAGGTTTCCCAGGCTCTATTTTTTTTTCCAAATAAAGTTTTCATTGATTCTTTGAGAATTTCGTATCAGGCATCCCAATCCCGCTCATTTCCTGGTCCTTCCGTGTCCACCCTACACTCTTGTAGCTTCTCCCACCCCAAAATCTGGATGGAGGTGGGTGGTCCTTGGACTTCCCACAGGGCAGGGAATCCTGATTGCTCTTTGGACTGATGAGGGAGGGGGACTTGATTGGGGGAGGGGGAAGAGACAGAAATCTTTAATAAATAAATAAATAAATAAAAATTATCCAAAAAATTTTTTAAAAATAAAATGAAAACATTGTGCTCCTCCGTCTTTCCCACCTTTCCGTCATATATTATTTGTCGTAGTAGCCTGGGAGCTGAGGCGAGTCACAAAGTCTACTCTTTGCCCAAGCAGCTTTACCTGCAAATGTTCATTGCAGTGAGATGAACCAAGGGGTCTGGTTCAAAGCCTCTGACTTCTGGTACACCATCCATAGTGGACCCTCACTGAAACTTCACTATTTTGCTGTTGCCCCTAGTCATGGAGACCCTGTGGTTACAGCTCAGCAGAACCAGTCCCTTTGCCCACTCTAGCAGGTCATAGATGGGGTAGATATTGGGGTGGGCCAACTCAAAGCCCTGGATGTGGGCCTGGGTGTTATCTGGGTTGGCCATTCGGGCCTCGCTGCCATCGAGGCCACACAATTCTGTGTGACCCACACTGCCACCTAAGGGCATGATAATGTGTGGGTCCATGGCTGTGCTGCTGCTGGGGTCTATGTTGAGGTCCGTGGCGTGTGATGTCACCAAACGTGTGATGCCAATGCCTGGAGTCTGCACCACCTGGAGCCATGTTGATGTCCAAGGGCCGTGCTGTTGCTGGGGTCATACTAATCCGAATGGCCTACACTGCCACCTGAGGCCGTGGTGACGTCTGGGCAGGCTCTGTTTTTAAATAACTGCTGGAAACAATCGGATCTCTTGACTGCTTCCAGAGCTTGGTGAGCCAAAATCTCAACACCTACTGGGAGTTCAGAATCACAGGGTGGAGCTGCTTAAAAGCAGACGCCACCAGCAAAGTCTCTTTAAACCAGAAGGCGTGCTTTGTAAGACCTTGGGCTTCAGGGCTACTTGAGCAACTCACTGATTTCTGAAGGAAGAGGTGTCTTGTCATGAAAGGACTGGTAACAAGGGGCAGTTGTGGCTATGTATTCTGGGAACAGCTCAGTTAGTACTGCCAAAAAGTCCTTCTGTGCCGATCAAGTTCAACAAAATGCCTAGCCTTGTAATCAGAGCAAAGGTATGAATCTGAAACCAACTTTCCACACCTTTTAAAATTATAATTCCATAATTAACCTTATGAATTATGTTGTGTTGAAAACTATATTAGAATGTTTGGTGGGATAATTGTGTTTTTAGGGCCATCTTTTTGGTCATGAGACTCTCCCAATATGAATTTTCTTCTTTCCTTCTTTGCCAATAAAAGAAAAAAAAAGCCTGAAGTTCAGATTCATCTATTCCCATTTAAGTCTACATTAGCCATTAACAAAATGCACTTTAAAAAATACTCTCCAGTGGATATCAAATCATAGTTAAATAATATGTATGTGCATATATGTGTATTAAACTTTGTAAAACTGAGCCTAAAGAATGCTGTTCATCTTATCATTAAGTAAGATAATTAGATAATGTCTGCTATATGGACAGTTGGCTCTGTGCTTCATCAGCTGTTAGAGACAAGCTCTGTAAAGGGAAAGGTCCCTCAAAAACAAGCTGGGAATTAACTGTGTAAAAAGACAAAAGAACACATACCTGTTATAATATCCCATTATTTGATACAGTTAATATACACTCGTGAGTTATTTTTAAAGATGGCAGGATTAAAACACGCTCCTATTTTAGGTTTATAATTAAAAATGTCCTTAGCAGAATAATTAGTTTCCCATGTTGCTTTGTCTCCTCCTTGTTGTATAGTAGGTACAGTAGATCAGAAGTATGGGTCAATCTTTTTCCAGTCCTTTGGAAATCTATTTATTTTTAGATGCTTGTATGGCATATTCATTGATGGAAATGACAAAGTAGTATCAAAAATTGTATTCAGGTAATTAATATCCATATTCAAATTCACTTGTCAATGTAGAGCCGCATTAGTTGTAAGGATTATGGCATAACCATTCATGCTTCCGGTGAAAAACCATCTTGATGGCTGCTATGTGGCAATGCAGGTGCTTGATGGGGAGACAAAACTTTTTGGAAAGAAATTGCACCTGTGGGATTCATTGTGTATTTTTTGGATTCAACTTTAATACACAGAACCCTCTCCACTAATGCTTTCAGCTCTTCTTGATCTCACACTGGGAGAGACCAACTTAGCCCTTTAAGAACGAGTGACGGTACAGGGTGAGCATCAGAAACTGACAGTCACTGACTGTAGGACAGTGTGCCAACAATTGCTCAGGCAGTAAGTCGGCATGGTGGGGCTTGGACAGGAGGCTACAATGGCTAATTCTTCTTCACCACGGGACTGATACAAAGGCAATTGAATAACAGTACTCAAACAGCCTGTTTGAGAAAATATAGTTTGGGATCATTATTATTTTAGAATTTTTTAAATGATCCCAGATTATTTTATCAGTGTTATAGTACAGCCTAGTACAGTCTAGTATCCCCTTTCTGCTTATAAGTCAGGGAGTCGTTCATTTATTGCCCTGACTTTCCCTCTGGCTACAGGAGAAGGAGGAAGCCAGACACCCTTCTTTAACCAAATGACTGTCTCGAACCCTTAGTTTCTAGACTTTTTGTGTTTGTTGATGTTAATATTTATGCCTCAATTCCAAAGTAAAAGCTACTTCCTTCATAATTTGAAATTTATAATGCAATTTCAATTTTTAATTGGTTTCCATAAGTTTATTAAAACGACTTATCATTTCAGGTTTTCTTTTATTTTGTATACCTCTATAGTGGTGGATGTTTAGCCAAACATTAGCAATTCTTTAAGATTTTACTCTGTGTGTGTGTGTGTGTGTGTGTGTGTGTGTGTGTACACTTAAGCAAATTCCTGGAGGAGGTCAGAGGAGGGTGTCAGATGTTTTGGAGTTGGGCTGATTGGCAGTTGGGTGTTACCCAGTGCGCCTGACGTGGGTGCTAGGAACCCAACTAGTCCCCAGAAGAGCAGCCATTGCTCTTAACTTTTGAGCTGTCTCTCCAGCCCCAGTGGTTCTTACAGGACTGCTGATGTGTACAAGCGCCTATAAAAGCTTTCCTTTTTACAGAATGAAGAAAAACGAAGCTATTGTGCTGCCATGAGTAAAATCGATGTACGTGTGTGATTTCCCAACTCTTCTTGCCCTCCC